ACCTTCCAGAATCTCCCCACCAATCATGAACAGGAGTGGGTGCATGAAGTGATCTGGACTGGATTGTCATACTATGGGGAAGTATGAGAATTTTGGCAAGCTGGTGGTGATTACATCATGAAGTGCCTCCACCCTCGGACAGTGGAAGTGCTGTACAAACTGGCACCCTGGATGAAACTGAACAAAATTGCTCTACCCAGATTCATCCGCCTGCCCAGCCTCAATAGGGTAGTATACATCAAACAGGAGGATGCCAAACAAGTGTGCCAGTTCTGTTACCAGACTGGCCACACAATGGCTCAATGCCACCATTGTAAAGGTAAAACTACATGGGAATACAAATATGACCCCATTGGGGGAATCACCAAGGTGGGTACCAAGACTTTCCTCCGCCCAAAAGCCAGAGAATGGATCCCATGCAACTTAATGGAGGTAGTGGATATGAAATGCCAGCAACAAGAATTGGACCTGGCACATAGAGAAGCATGGGAACAAGAAGTGGCAAAGTGACCCAAAGTGGATGATGAACCATTTATAAATCCAAACCCCAAATCTTACACAATGGATGAGGGAACTGACCCCAGACCAACAGAGAAATGTCCAACCCAAGCAGAATGGATGGTCTGTAAGGAGGAAAGATGGCAGAAGGCGAACCTGAAAAAGTCTCCCAAGCAAGGGTGGATGCAGGAAGCCAGCAAATCGAAATCAAAGCCTGACAAGATGAAAGTGAATACTAAAGCAAATTGGAAGTCATTGGCAAATAAACCCAAGGTGACCAGTGAAAAATCAGCAGGAGTGACAAAATTGACAAAATTGGCTGGACAATCACCAACTAAAAAATTGAGTTCTGCCATTAAATCGAATGAAGGGGTACAAATCTGACTGATGGATGAGGGAGAATCTGTTGCTCTGCCAGCAGGGGACAAGGGGCACCTGGACCCAATCATAAAACCATCCCCATTATCCATTGACAGGGAGATGGGGATGGTAACCAAATTCTCAGTACACAGGATGCCCAGGAATATAATCCCAGTCCCAACCAACCAACCCCAAAAACCAAATATTGCACCCCCAACCATTGATGCCACCATCATTGACCAACCAGACCTCAGTATGGGACTCGATCCACAACCCAGACAATGCTAAACCTCATACCCATGGGTTGGGCAGCTGGAAATGAGGATAGCAACTACAAATGCTCAGGGGATGGCGAGCATACAAATGAGGAGGAGGAAAATGCACCATTTAAAAACTAATAATAATATTGACCTAATTTTTATTTCTGAAACACAAGCTGGTAACCAAAAGGAAATGGTGCTGAGCTCAAACTGCAACGTGAAAAACCACCCGTGGTCCCACCAGATAGGCTACCAAGCCCTATGGATGGACCATGTGGCAATAGTTGCAATGGACAAGAAAATAGACCTGGAATTCGTGGAAGAAACTCATGCTGGTAGGATCTTGATAGTGATGGCTACAAACAGAGAAACTGGCAGGAGCATATGAGCAGTAGCAGTCTACGCCCCACCTGAAGCACCACAAAAACCATATTTTTTGGGAATTCTTAGCGGAAGTGCCATCAGAAGTGATGACCATAATAGCAGGTGACCTGAACTGTTGGATGAATGCGAGCTGGGATACATTTCTGACAAGAGAACGTCCCAACAGTAAGGCTGACGAGATGCTTAATTACCTAGTCAAATTGGGGATGTGCCTAAATTGATGAAGAGGATGACCCGGCCAACCTAATGTGGTGGTCATATGATGCCTCTGGATCCCCACTGTCAGGATCACATTTAGACTACATCCTAGTGTCATTGGATCTCAAGCCAATGACATCCAACAGCAAGGTTAGCATAGATACTGAAAGTGACCATATGGTCATCTGGGTGGATATCAACCTTGATGAACCTCCAAGGAACCACGAGTGGCAACTGGCACCAGCCACGCTGAGGGATGGGGAATGGCGCCGAAAGATTGACGCTGGACTGGATCAACTGGTAGCATATCTGGACAGCCGCCCAGAGTTGGACCTGATAGAACGATGGACCCAGATCAAAGTGAAAATGAAGCATGATAGTATGAAGTTCGAAAAAGTGACCTCTTACAAGAAAACTGCCGCCGTGAAGCAGCTGAAATCTAAATTAGAAAGGCTGAGGCTCACCTGGTGGGACAATGAGGACTGGTGGAGCGAGTACCAAACAACACACAAAAAGTATCGGGTCATAATGATGAAGCAAGACTCAGAGAGATGTACCAATGCGACTTACTGATATCAGAGTCTAGCAGGGACAATGACCAAAGAGGGCCTGAAACACCTCAAGGAAATTTGTACCAAGGCTAAGGTATGGGAAGTGGAGACAGTGGAAGGGGAAGTATCAACAGACCCGAAACAATCAAGCGCAAGGTCAAGCTTTTTTATGGTGATCTTTTCCAACAATGAGAAATGAGCAAATCGGTGACAAAAACCCTTATTGACCTGGCCAAGCCAGCACTAGGGGGCTGTACGCTGGAAGATGTCGCCAAGCTATCTGCCAAAATCTCTATTGATGAAGTTAAGAGGGCGCTAAAGGAGTTGCCAAGAATGAAAGCACCAGGCCCCAACAATATGTGTGCAGAAATATACAGCATATTCTGAGACTGCATCGCGCTAGAGCTCAAAGCCCTCTTCAACCACTGTTTACAAAATGGCCAGCAAATTCTGGGAGGCCAAGAGACCCAAATTGTACTTTTGTACAAAAAGGGCCTCAGATGCCAACTTTGGAACTGGCGCCTGATTGCACTATCAAATGCCAATTATAAACTGCTCATGCGCATACTATCTAATTGACTGATGGCAACAGCACCGCGCATGCTCCATAAGGCCCAGAATGGCTTCATCAAAGGCCATAGTATATGGGACAGCATTGGTTCAGTCCAGAGCATACTCCAGGATATGAGGGGCATCAAACAGGGGTACCTTATGTTCCTTGACATGGAAAAGGCATATGACTGAGTAGCATGGTCATTCCTTCATGAGGCACTAAAGGCAGTCGGTATCTCTGACACTTTTTGAGCATGGATAATGACGCTGTACTCAGGCCTGGTAATGAAGGTGATTGTCGCAGATGGTGTAACTAACAAAATCCCAGTTGGGCAAGGTCTCTGACAAGGCAACCCTATGTCACCAATACTCTTCAACTTTGCAGCCAACATTTTACTGGCAGCAGCAGATGCGAAGCTCCAGGGTTTAGTCCACCCTAACCAAATGCCAATGAAGATTCTAGCATTCGCTGATGATACAGTAGTAGGCATAAGCTCACTGACTGACCTCCAGGGCGCCGAGGAACTATTAAACCTCTATCAGCTAGCATTGAATGCAAAAATCAATTTGACAAAAACCTCAGTGATGAGGGTCAGCAACCCAAGCTTCAGCCTGCCAACTGACACAACGCCAATCATGCACTCCCAGACTGTCTGATACCTTGTGATACTCTTAATCAATAAGGGATCAGCGGTACTGGAGACCAAACAGAAAGTATTGTCAAGCTTATCGATCTGAATGGCATGCTGGAAAAGTGCCAGACTATGCCTCAAGGAGAAAGTGCAGGCAATAAAAATCTTCATCTTCTTGAAGTTGTGGTATGTTGCTCATGTGTTGCCAATGAGCATAAACTTAGAGAAGAAAATCAGGTCAATGCTCTGAACCTTCTTGTGGTTCAAGGCGAAGGCGGCACTGATACCACTGGAAGCCCTGTCAAAACAAAGAACAAAGGAGGCATGGGCCTCCTAGACTTTGAATCTCATGCCTGGCGTATATGGGGAAGTCATTCCTGAAGCTAACACAGATGCACATGCGCTGCCAAACCCTAGCATGGGGCGTGAACTGGCAAGAGCCCAAGGCCTCCAAGAGCTGGTCTCTCTGCTCAATATGTGAATGGATGGCGCACCACCCACGGATAACCTCCCAAAAAGATACTCCACACTACTGGCGACTATGCAATCAGGCCATGCGCCAGGGTGGATGGTCATTTGAGTGATCAGACTGAGAAGCCAACCAAATTCAAAGGGACATCAAAGCACATAATTCTGCAATGATTTCCGTAACAAGCTGGGAGGAGAATAACCAAATTGCTGAGGAATACACTACCAAGTCAATCATAATAAGGTACAAATTAATGCTGATAGAATATGGGGACCACTCCCAAAACCAGGGCGCAATCCGCCTACCCATCCACGAATCCTAAATGACTGGACTACCAAAGGCCATGACATCAACTACCCAATGAAGGAGTTGATTTTGGGCCTGAACACCCGCTTGGTCACAGCCAAACAGCAGTCAGTAACATGGTGGATCCTTAATTGGGCATTTAAATCAGGCAAGCACAGCGGGCTGAATTATTAGCACAAAGAATGCCCCATATGCGCTGAACTGGAAGCAGACATAGCACATTGCTATTATGAATGCGCTGTGTTCAAAAAATACTGATCCACGATGCAATACATCCTATCAGGCAATCATTTGCCTCCAGGTATACATCTGTCGCAGGACCTGTTCTTTATGAGAACCCTGAGAACAGCTTTAATCCAATTACAAGCCTTCATTTACCATTATTGTGTATGGGTAATTCACTGTGCGCTTGTCACCAAGGTTATGAGCAATGAGCGCCCCCATCACAGAGGTTTGGTATTGAAGACCATTTGGATTATCTCAGATCAGCTCCACTGGATCTCAAAATTCTCACGCATAATCCCCAGGTGTTATAAGGCCACACATTTAGCTTTCCCCACTGGATCGCTCATCACACATGATGAAGCTACTAATTGTCTAAGAATAGTATGGCCTGTAAGCCTGCCGCTGCTAGAACCATGGCTAGCGATGGCGATCACCAATCAGCAATGGTTGGAGGTGCTAGAACTCTAGTAACCCAAATCCCTGGTCTTTTTTACCCTCAGCTGAATCGCCTGTATTCCGCCCTCCCCTCTTACTTTCCCTTAAAAGTTTTATTTTAATAAAGTATGGGGCTTTTCTAAAAAAATGGATAAGGCATGAGTCTATGGAACTCAAGATTCCAGGTTTGATCCCTGGCAGGATCATTGCTTTAATACAATTTGGTCTAACTGGTATAATAATTTTTTAATACTAGTTGGTCTCTGACGGACAAATTAGAAAAAAATCAGTATTTCTTGAGAATTTTAAGTTTGATGTAATCATAAACCTATAATTTTAGTCAAATGTAAACTAAATTAAAACTGATAAGCCTATTTTTTCACTTTTAGTATATTTATAACTAAGAGTCAATTGCAACTTTTGCACCACTGATAGCTATATAATTACTAAAATTTTCTTGAGCTGGATTAGTTAGCTATCTAGCAAGTTAACACAATTAAAATTAAGTTAATACAGATATATAAGGTTGGGGGCATGCGGGCGTTGCTCTAGTTTCTATATATATATAAATAAAGAATTTATTTAATTAATCCAGTTTTTTTGTGTTCATAATTTATGAAATCATAACCAACCTTGCTAGAGCATGAGGCTAAAAGGTCAAATTTCATTAGACTCGCTAAGAAGCAGTTTTTTTTTAACATGATATATGTTGTCACAGAGCTTAGGAATCTAAGGTTGTTCATGAACTGCTGTTCAGGCAAAACCACAGGTTTCTGATTGATCAGTCATATCAGTAGATGGGTGTAAGTGTTCACAGGAGGGCATTCATCCCAAAATATCAGTATCAGCATGGTTGAGATAAAACTTTAAAAACAGCAGAAAAAATACAAAGAAAGTATTTTTATAGTTTATTGAAAATTGTGAATATGCTTTTATATTGAATCAATTGAATTTTGCAAAGAGAAAGAGAATTCTGGGGCCACAAAAAAGCAGAGGAAAATGGATAAATAGCAATAGGGATAAGACAAAGGAGGGGACATCTCTAATGGATTAACAATCTATGTGGCAATATGACACTCCCCCTTTTATTTTCATGCTGCCTATCTTATAGTTGAGGGTGGGGGTCTCATACAGTTAAGACTAAGTTATCCACAGTGAAATTATGGTCCTGTGGAATTTCTTGGGCAGTTGTTTAAATTGGTTCAGATGAAGTCATATTTTATAATTACTGAATAAAGTTAAGTAGATTAATAACTCCAAATAAAAATTGAAAAGGGGTGTTTTTGTGTTAATTAAAAGCCCATCATGAGGGAAAGGAAGAAAATGTGGGTTTAGAATCTTTGGGCATGCATAGTTGGTAGTATCCAGGAGAGAAATTGGTAGTAGAGGGTACTTTGGCTCCCCCTAGGACACTGAGGGAGTTGGCAGTTGGACGCAATAGGTGGGCATTATTCTCAGACACTATAGGTCCAGATGTACAGTTCCTATATCTGGATATAGAGTGATTCTTGCACAGGAGTAGTAAGGGCCCAAGCCCCTAGTAGAGACCCTCTCTAGAATCAGTGACCTTGCTCATGTAGTAGATGAGTGGTGGGTTACTGCTCTAGCTCCTTAAGAACCTTCCTCTCTGCCACATTTCTTCTTCTAATCTGTTATAAATGAGTGAAGGAATGTGCAGAGAGGTGGTTCAGTTTAGGGGCATCCAGCAGGATCCTCAGGCTCACCCCAAGTGTGCCTAGCCACAGATGACATTCAAAGAATCACCCCACCTTATCCAAATTCCCATATAAGCCCTATTCACCTAATAAGCTGGATCAGGTTTATTATACTAGTTGGATCATATATCAAACCTATGGATTATGCCTTTTTTGCCTATAATTTATATGAATAATAATCTTAAGAGTGTGGGTCCAAGTGAAACTGGAATTCACAGCTTACCCATTTAATGAAATATGTTAAAGTTCAAGAGCATTCTGTTATAGTTCTCCATTATTTGATGAACATGTCATAATTTTTCATGACACCACCTGAGACCATAAATGCCTTTCCCTCTCCTCAAACTATTATGCAAAGCCCACCTTGCTAATTAGGGTGCCCAGTAGAGGCTTTGTTGCCCCTAATGCTCTGCACTCCCTTTTCCCACTCCCACTATATAGGCAACCCCCTTTTAGTGTAGGTTAACAGTTCATTTCTTTAACTTTCCTCCCTTTATTTTTACTTAATAAAACAGAAATTTTTATCAAACCCTTGTTGTGGAACCTGCCTCTGCACTGTCTTTCTAATTTTCGCCAAAATATTCTAATGATGCATTCTGCCATGCATAAATGTTTTTGAAAATTGCCAAGCAGATGTACAGATATGCAAATCTGTTATTGATCCCCACCCTCCACAAGATAGTGGTGGTCTACATCTGCAATTATGATTTCTGGTCCATTGAACATGCCACAGAGGACGTTAACTGCCTTTTTCCAAATTGATCCGCCACATTATGGACGCAAGCAGCTCCTATTTTGTCACAATCCATTTTATGATACTTGATAAAATTTTCTTCCATGTTTAAATACATATTGAACATCCGCAATCCCTAGAGGGTCTGTCACCCTCCCTGCCTCTCCCACCCTTAGAGGTTGCCACAGTAAGACATGAAGTTGCCCTACTGCACTTTTCTGGCTTATTATAAAAACTTTGGTATTTTGTTTAAACTGATTGCCCCTCATTAATCCTTAGAGAACCCCTTTCAAAGTCATCAGAACAGCTGAGCCTCTGGCATTCTGTACCATAAACTGGGCTCTATCAAACCCTCTCAAGATGGGCAGTCTTCTTTAGATAATCTGCATCCCTGACAGGCACCTTGACTATTGTCAAAGTCCAGGGAGGTTCAAAGGGCGACGCAGACCGTTAGTTGGTTTCATAGTCTCCACTAAGTTTTCACAAACTGAAGATAGTAGATAGGGATGTCAGGTAATTAGTTTAATGTCGCTAACATCTAGGTGGTGTTGATGTAAGTCTAGAAACTCATTATCTTATGCTAGATCATGGGAAGTTCCCTCACATAGGAATGAATGGACTAAGGCACCTGTGGAGACTTTAGTTCAACTGGGTAACTTGGCTCATGTTATTGATAAGTTCTGGGTATATGCTTTAGCCTCAAAAACCAAACTACTCTAACCCCATTTTCTGCTTCTTCTCTTGTGAATAAGATCAAGGGGTCTGTAGGGAGGTAATTTTAACCAAAGGCCAGTAGCAGGACCCCCACCATCATCTGGACCACACACTGTCACCCCACACCCCTTGGAAACTGCAAAATCGAGTTAAAACTCTGGAAAACTTTAGTAAATCAAAAAAGGCTGTTAAACCACAAAATTTGAGATTTCCAGGTCATGAGGTGCCAATCTGAGTCAAGAATTCATCATTTAGAATCTTTAATATAATATAAGTCAATCATCAAAATTAAATTCACTGAAAACCAACTATGTTAAGCTTCTTATATGAGCTAATCTGCTCAAGTTTTGATCAGTGAGAGTACCCCATCGGCTGATATAGGAATTACGTTGTCAAAGCTTTTATAAGCTTGTACATAAACTGTCAGAAGACCTCTTAAACCCAGGCTATTTGATGCAAGCACATCAGTCATCCCAGTCTAAGCCATCCCCACAATCTCTTCCCCAGCCACCAAGTATAAAAGACAAATGCCCCTTAGGGTCAGCTGTCAGTTCATTCTATATTTTCAAACTAAATGAAAAATTTAGTTGACAAAATTCTCTCTAAAGACTCCTCCGACCTAATCCTACCAAAATTTTGCTTTGAACTCAACCAAACATGACACTATCAGTGTTCTGAAAATGATGATCATATAGCAAAAAATTCGATCCTATTGATCCAGTGTCTCACTATATACTAGCCAAAGTCATCAAAGGTTATGCTCATGACCTGCTTCTCCAATTTGCCATCAAAGAAAGTCTCCCAAACTGCCTGATCCAGTTTTCTAACTCACCACTGGTGCAACGCAATATGGCTAACCAAAAGTCCTGAAATCCCTCACACAGGATGGTCTTTGTTATCTGTCCAACTCACCTCACCATCCCATCACTGATGTCAGTGTGATCTGGATGTTACAAGGCCTCTCACATTAACGATTTTGTTAAATTATGATGGGTGATGATCGCCCAGTTTTGAAATCTAGGCGAAGCCCAGGCTCCAGATCATCCAAAGCATCGCTCTTCCAGGCAATCTGCCTCAATTTACATTAATAAATTAATCCGCCATTCCAAATAATTTTCTCACTCTGCGCAGAAGCTTTAAAACCTCAACAACTGTGAGACAATGACCAAGACCACTCCATATTCAAACTGAGCCAATCTAATTACCAAACCTAATCCTCATTTTTGCAGGTCAACAATTTCATTGTACCTATGGATTATATTTATATAACTGAACCTGAGAATTATGGGACAGAAACCAAAAGCCAGCAACTTTAAACCCATGATGATTGGTCATCCTCCATGCCTCTCCCACCCTTGGGAATTTCCCCAGTAAGACCCGCGGTTGCCCCCATTGCAGACATCTGGTTGTCTATAAGGGCCTTTGTTATGTCAATTAACTTTTACTAACCTCATTGTCAGGCGAACAGCAAGTAAGAATTAGACTGACCTTCCAGCCCAGATGCCAGAGCACCTGAACGGTAAACCAGAATGCCCAAGGCACTGCTGTTGATATGACGAAAATGGAACTAGAAAGGAGTTCCACCAATATATGCTGGTGAGCCAGAAAATTGTACAGGCATAATTTAAAATATCAGACAACCACGGCCATTAACCCTGAGGGGTATGAGAGTGTCGGCGGAAAAGGCAGCTTAATTCTCAACATATAAAAAGTAAATCTTGGGAAGGCTTTTTTAATGGAAAATTTTAAGGAAGAAAAATTGACCAACAATTTTCTCAGTGCAATGCGACTGATTAGTTAGTAGTCAATTTGGGGGAGAAACAAGCCAGGATCAGGTCCCGCAAGTTCAACCTAACCAGCGAATTATTTGGGAATGGGTGGGTTAGTTTCCTGGGAACTGACATCAAAAAATTCGGTGGTGGGCTGAGTTGCTGTCAGTTTGACCTCCAACATCTGAACCAAGGCTCAGCTATGTTTCTGACAGTTGGCGTGATGGCGTTTGGCCCAACGAGTGGTGGGAATCCCCCAAGGCCACCCCACATAG